GGTCCAACGAGAAATTCAGCCCTAAAGACTCCATGGTTTCCTGAATGGTGGTACTCTCCACCGGAACCAGACGAGTACTATAGTCATTTCACTCAAGGTAACTCCTTGTATGACTTGAACATTCAACGCTGCTCACCCCATACATGCCTCCCGCATGCTGCTCATCACCTGCCATCCAAGGACGAAAGGAGGCGACGTGGGGGGGCTGGACAAGAACTCCCCTGTTCCTCAGGGGTAAGACAGACTGCTACCTTAGCTCATTCCCTCGGCTCATGTACCCACAGCTTGTACTCACAGGATCCTGTGTAAGCTCCCTCATGAGGACCGACGAGACTAAGTACACAGTCTGTCTCTAAATTAAGCCCTATACTCATGTCAATGCTGCTTGAACTCACAGTTCCCTGTGTAAGCAACTCTTAAAACATGCTAGGGCTTCTAACGGAGTCTACCCAAACCTCATCCTCCCGGATGTCGATGTAGACTCTTTTCCACACTCAAATCAACGCTCATCTGACTTCATGATGCAAGTTGGCCTACGGGCAAGCTATGGACCTCAGTGATCAGCCTACCAAAATCGGCCCTGTGCGTCTCTTATTCAAATTGAATTCTGGTGCGTCCCCACTGACATGGTCAGCGCGGGTGCCAGCTCGCTGCTGCGCGCACCAAACAACTGTCACAAAACGCGCGGCCCCATGCCATGGCCTCCCTCATATCCTGCGTGGTCATCGGTTTTACCAAGCGGATTGCACGCTCGGCAGATTGCTTGTGTGAGCAGAGGGTCTGGCCATTGTTGAGCTCCAAGTGGACCTTCGACCGCTGAGTTGCGATATAGCCACATGGCTCCGGGAATGGGTTCCGGAGAGAGCTAGCCCTGAGCGTCGTGTCAACCCACGACCTCATCCCAGCCTCATGGATGATCCCCGGAATGTCCAGGGAGCGCCTGCAGCTTTTGACATAAGCCACGGCAACATCCCAGCTCTCCTGCGCAAGTAGGGCCCTGAAGACGCAGCCTCCAACACCAGCTCGGTGACGTCCTGACAGGCAATGGATCAGTGCTGATTCTCCTGCATACATCGTATTGCGCAGCAGGGGCCAGACTTCCTCAAAGTCCCTGTTCCTGGAGTTGCCATGCGCCACACAAAGGTGCTTCAAGAGGGCATCCGTCAGCACAACTCCTCCTCGGGAGGATGGGGTCTCGGCCATGCATGCAATCTGAAGGGTAACTCCCTTCGGAAAGCGATGCGCAGTATTCTTGGTGGGAATCCCGCTCAACCACAGCTTGCCCCCTGCTCTGTTCTGGTAGATCAGGCTTGGGCTCTCTGCAGTCTTGCCGTGGACAGTGGCCAGCCTGTCAAACTTCCTGTCAGGCCCCCGGGTGTCCAGTGCCTCTGGGATCGGGAGGTCTTCCTCCTCCACTTCAATCTCTTCCTCCTCAGAGCTCGAAACCAGGGCTGGAAGAGGGGCTGCAGGTGTAGCTGGAGCTGCCTTCGCCTTTTTCTCAGGCGGTGCTTTCGGCGGTTGGCCCTGTGGCGATCGAGGACGCCTCACTGGCGCCTTGGGTGGGGTGGCTGGTTCAGGAGGTCGCTCCTCCTTGGACTTGCTGGTAGGCTTAGCCTTCGCAGAGCCCGAACCAGTCCCTTCGCCCAGCATCTCTTCCACCTTGATGAACTTCTTGTCATGGCATTTGCAGCCTGGATGTCCTCCTCCACAGACACGTCCAGATTTGCGCATCACGGCACATGCATGCCTACCCGGGCATGATTCCTTCTCTAACGGGCAGGACTTCGTTTGATATGCCCCACAAATAGGCGACCCGTTCTTCATGAAGGCACTCAGCACTTTCCCATTGAGGGAAGCTGGCATAGCCATCAGCCCACCTTTGGCTTGGGCTTCCTCCCTCTTAGCAGCTGCTTTGAGCTTGAGGGCTTCTGACAACTGAAAACGAGCCTGTAACTCATCCTTCGTCAAAGGGGCTGCCCAGATGACACGGGACTCCTGCTTCAGGACCTTATCGACTTGCTGGCGCACATAGTCAAGGGCCTCTGCAAAGCTCTGTTCCGGAATCGTCTCCCAAGACTCGTATGCCAACAACTTCTCCATGGCCAGCCTGATGATATGCTTGGTCCGAAGCGAGTGTTCATACCTGGCTGCACTGTAGTGCATAGGCATCGTCGCTTCTTTGGGGATCTGGCTCCGATCGGCCCAGTCACCAAGCGAACATAACTCCAGGGGCGTCAGCTTCATCAGTGATCCCACTGTGGGGCCAGCTCGCCTCCAAGAGTAAGACGACAAATCGTCTGTGTTCTGGACCAAGTGCTCGAAGACCTCACGGTTCAAGTCGTTGACATACTTCAAGGTGAATGCGGTACCCTCCGCATCGAAACAGAGACCTGATGTGGCCTGCTTGGTCTTGTTCAGCTTGCTATAGTCCCGAAATAGGGCGGCTCCCCAAGCCCATCCATCCACGAATGTTGCGGGGATGCAGAAGGAGAATCCACCCCGATTGGCCCGCTGCTTGCCCTTCGGGCAAAACCCATGGAACGAAGATGGTGTCACCTTCACCGGCCTGGCCCTCATGATGTGCTTGTAACGCAAGACACCAAAGGTTACCAGCCATGACGAAAGTAACCCTCGCCAACGTGGGTCCTCTGCCTCATACATGGCCTGTATGCGCTCTTCCAAGGCAGCGATCATCGGCGGTTCGACTGCGACTGCCTGTTCAGGATTTGCCTTCTTGGGTGGATTCTTCCTTGAGGGCACTGGCACGTCACTGAAGTCCCACTGCAAGCGACCATGTTTCGAAAACCATTTCAAAGAATGAAATGCCCTGTAGGGTCCATTTGTGCCATTTTGCAGAAAGCCATAAAGATCCAAAGTATCAGGCGGAAACAAACGATCTTTCTGTTCCATGTATGCCCTCAATTCTGCCCAGGACTTGAGGGCATTCACAACTGTGGCGCCCTCTGCCTCCGTGACCTTCTTCTTGGCCAGGGTATCCAGGGCATCCTGCCATTGTGAATACCTCTCAGGGGTCAGCTCCCCTTGAGGGCGCATCACCTTGGCCTGGGAGAATGCTTTCCGCAAAGCCTCGGCTCTCAGCAGCACTTGTTCTGGCTGATCTGGGCCTGGCCGGATGCGAAGTGCCTGGATCATCCTGCTTTTCTTCAACATCGAAGCCTTGGGAGCCGGCCAACTTGCTGGCCTATCCCGAGATCCAGAACTCTCTGCCACTGCCGCCACTTGCGGAATGAGGTCATCTTCAATGATGTTGGAACGCGCCTGCAACCACGCATCGGCAACATGGTGTCCTCCATGCGCCACTGCGCTATCGTATGATGCGAAGGCATAGGCGAAGTCCGTGTTGTCATGCAATCCCCATTGAGATCGCCACTGCTCCACCCTCGTTGAGGCCACCCGTTCCATCGCAGTCTCAGCACCAAGCGGGGCATCACCTGCAGCTTGAACTGCGTAGGCACCTGGGTGATATGCCATGGCAACCCCCGACACCACCGCTGCCAATGTTTGGAGCGTTCGCGCTGGGCCTGAAACTGCAGAATTCACCTCAGTATCACCAGGTACGAAACATGCATCACTAGGCCGCAGCTGCTGCAGATGGGTCTCTATGCAAGTTGGGGTGACAGCCTGGACACTGGGAGGGTGGACAGGTACTGCACACTGAAGAGAAACAGTGCTCACAAAGTTCTGGGGTCGGAATGCCACAGGCCCGACATGGCGGCAAGGGTTCCTCCCCAGCCTCCATGGCACCAAGCCACCCCCAGAGCGACCGCACTGCTCTGGCCCGTGGTGCCCTCCACGCGACCAGGTCAGCTGGGATAGGCACCAGGGATGGATCCCTCCATCCTCGGCGCGGGGACTGCCACTTCCTCCAGACATCCCACAGCTCGGCAAGGTCGACCATACTCTCGGCATTGTGCTCGATGAAGGCCACCAAGCCGAAGATGTTGTCCGGCGCAAAGTCCCTAGCTGTCCAATGGGTCCGCAGCGGCTCAATGAGCAGCAAGTCCAGCTTCGCCTCGCCCAGGCGATCATAGTAGGACTGCCACGCCAGCCGCGGGTCACTCCCGGGCAGAGCCAAGACAGCTGAGCTGTTCCACGTACCAATCCATGGGAACTTAAATCCTCCCAAAAACTCGGTACACCTCCTACAGTTTTCCTCCATGCAGGGTGACCGTCGAAATGGGGGAAGTCCCTCCACCCCCAAACCAATGGGATGAGGGGGGAAATGGTCGATCTGACAAACTGAGGACCATAGCCTGGTAGCTTGAGAAACCAGGCCCCGCTGGAGCAGGCCTTCCACGTGGGTCTTGAACTCGTAGTAGGCCGCCGCGTGAAGGATCTCAGCGTCAGTGTGGGCAGCCTCATTCCAACCGGGCCGAACGACAACGGTGGCCCTGGGCATCAGGGGGGTATCTCCCACCTCCGTAACCTCTGTACTCTAGGGTAACTCCCTAGTAGAGGAACGAATAACCACTTACCCTAGGGTGACTCCCTAGTAGTGGTGTGGGTACCCCAACAAAAGAAGAATGATGAAGCCAGTTTGGCTCAGACTTGAGCCAAAATGGATTCATCAACTTACACACTCACCCTAATGATAATGCACACCCAGTGCCTGCCAAACACGATGCATACATATCATAGATATTATGGAATGGAAACTAGTTGTACCTTTTTGGTCAGTTGTGGTCCGTCTGATGTTCCATGGTATGGAGTCAGTGGGTAGTAAACAGTAATATGGCATCTGGTTGGTAATTTCAACACTAAAGAATATGTTCCTCACTTGGAATTATCATCCCAGTCGGGTTGAAACATATTAAGAATGTTTGAAACCACCGGATATAGAAATTATGATGACTTATGTAGGTGAATGTACATAACCCGACGATTCCAACATATTCCAACCATGTCCGGAACTTCACGCTATAGAAATCGATGATTCATCGGCTCAATTCAGCCCCGGAAGGGTCGCCCTCCGATCGATCCTCGACATTTTCGATGGGTTTGCCAAGCTGGATGCAACCTGCCGTCAGCTCCAAAAGGGACGTGGTTGTTTTGTCTGATCGAACTACTTTCTGAGAATGGAAGGAAAACTTAATCCGAAAATATCCCTAAATCACACCCATTGCTACTGTATATTATGTTCCAAGATGCACAGCTACCCATTCTTATGACATGTTATGCAGCAAATGGTTTTTGTTATGTGTCGATTGCCTGTAGTTCTTTGCAAGCCTCACAGGAAAAGTTGAATCCTGTCACAAGAATCTGTAGATGCCAGTGATTTATGACAACATATGATAGCCTTTGGAGGTGAGCTCTATTTTTTGCTCTAAAATAACGCTTTTAAGCCTACTCTTGTCACAAAACATTGTAAATACATGTATTTTTAAGCATTTTTAGTCCAAAAGTCACTCCCCCGTGAGGGGGAGAAAAGACATGGCTTCCTTTAGATTGGCATGAAACCAATTGATCATTTATGAAATCCATTAAATCCATAATCATTACCTGAATCCCCAGGATTCCCAATTCATAATACTTAAAATTACTGAAGCCACCATTTGTGATGATCAAACCCATTCAAACACAACTTTACATACTTAATCCACCATTTTTCGATGAATTGAATCAGAATCTCTCAACGAAAACGCGCGCCCTTCACCTTCCAAGCGCTGATAGTCGCCATCCGTAAACTTCGCCACAACCAGCAGCGGTTGCCCCATCCTGGCACCATGCGCGGCTTGGGGATTCCTTATGTTAAGAAACCTCCACACATAGAGGTTTCAACTGTAAATGTTCCCGTCCAAATTCCGGAAGCTTAGAAACATCCTGTACATTCGTGACTTGAAGGTTGGATCTATTTTAGAACCTTTTTGAGAATATGTCATGACTTAAATGAATGAAATCTCATTCTGAGCGAAAAACAAATCAGTTCCATGTCCCGGGCCCCAAGGCATGGCGTGCTTTTTGATCCACCGATTGCCCTTGTGGGTGCATGAGGGCCACCTTGGAGGTGGGGAAACGCTGAAACGGGATAGAAAAAACCATGGTATCTGGAAAAGGTTGGAAAATACTGGGAAATTGATGGAAATTGTGGAAAATGATGTTAAATAATGTTGTAATGTTGATAAGAGCGATTTTTTTGCGAAACACTTCTTATTCTATAGACGAAATATAAGGTGAAATGAGTACAGAGTAAGATTCAACTGGGTCCAAAACCAGGTGCCCATCATCCGTCCAAAAATGTGGTCAGAATCCTCAATCCAGACGTTCATCACTCAACCATACTGAGCATGGAACCATCGTGCCTGCCGTATCCCCACAGAACAGTGTGCGCTTTTGTCACTGTCCGAAATTGAATGGACAAGTCTGAATATGTCTTGCTAATTGCCCAAATGTCAATCGCAAATCGCAACAATCCATAACAGTCCAAGAACCGGCACATACCAGCAGAGTTCACGGGAAAAAAGACGTAGATGAATTCCTTCTCCAAACATGTGATACCCCAAAAATTGTTGGTTAATCCTTTTCCCTACTGACATGACCATAAATATCCATAAATTGAGATTACCATCTAGTAAACTAACATAACTATGGAACATCACAATTTTTAATTGGTAAATCAACGAACTAAATGGCAATTTTCCATAGCAAACTGTTAGTTTAGACGATAAATCCAGCATTTTCAGTGACCGGATAACCGCCTTGTCCATGATGATGCCATTCTCAATGCTGAAGGAGTCGTTCGGCAGTCCTGCCACCACCCAAGCCCTCACCTGCCATATCTGAATTTTAAAGAAATTACAGAATTTTCTAACCCCCCCAAAAAATGGTAAACGTATAATTAATCAACGCAAGTTCGCCTTTTTCTTTAGGTTCTACCAGAATTCCATTTGTTGGACTATTTTTTCGGCTTTGCGATGGAGCCATAAATGCTGCGATGGAGCCAGCACTCCAAACCAACCACAGAAGCCGTCAAAAAATGATGTTCACATTAAGTGCCCTATTTGGGGTGTAGGTTTTATATGGTTTATCAATATTTATCACAGCACATCATAAATACATCCCACTTCTTCCCATTCATCTCCACTCCTCCTAAAGTCATCTATCCAGTCTATCTCCCCATATGGTGGTTTCCCAAGTCAGTACCCCGAGTCATCATCCATTGATGGGTTCCTCCATGAAATCATCCAGCTATTGCCAGCTATTGGGGTACCCACCTATTCATGATATGGACATGGAATGGAGTATTCACCCATGATCAACCCATGATTCACAATTCTATTAACCATATATTCACCACTGTATATCAACCATATATCAACCATTGTTAACCCATGATTAACCATTATAGTACCATTATATTAATCCTCCATTTTGGGAGACCACGGATCCTCCCAAAACCAGCAGTGGCGCCTTCACGGGTTCCAGGCACTCCAACGAGAACTTCTCGGATCTGACGCTGCGACTCCGCCCAGGCGCCAGGCCGAGGCCGAGAAAGGTGGGACTAATCCGAACTTATTTTTCTATGGGGGTTACTCCAATAGCTGGATCGATTACAATCGAAAATCCGAACATAAAATGGATGATGATTGGGGGAACCCTGGGTTAAACAGGACCAACATGGATGATTTTGGGGGGTCCCCATTTTGGGAGATCTCCATAGAAAAAACTGTTGCGTGAAGTTCAGATATGAATATGTTTTGCTTACCAGTTATACTAGTGGGATGATCCTCGAGGAGGCGATAAAAAAAGGGCGGTGATTCAAAAAATGTGATGATGATGATGATGATGATGATGATGATGATGGTGATGATGATGATGATGGTGATGGTGATGGTGATGGTGGTGGTGGTGGTGGCGGCGGTGGTGGTGGTGGTTGTGCTGTTCTCTCAAAAATTCAATGATACAGTAATTCTTACTAAAAACAACACTGATGTCGCTGGAAAAGGCAAAGAACATCAAGTCAAAATGATATTTTCATGTCTTTTCCTTCCTTTTGGGATTCTATGGCAATGCCACAAGTTTGTCATGGTCTGAGAGGCTGAGAGACAGGCTTCACAGCGCTCGCGCGGAAGTCTGGAGTGAAGGCACCCAGTGCGATCAAACCACTGGCAACAATGACCTGGCCACGGCATTGCGAACGGTCGCCAGTGATACCAATGAACCTGGCCAGATGATTTTCCAAGGTTCAGTGTTTTGCAGGAAAAAACGTCTGGCCGTCTGACATACGATGCCTCGAAAAAACGAACGTGAGCAGCAGCGATCCCCACCGAAAAAAGCACACGGGCGGAACTTGCACGAGATAGGTCTTCTTCAATGACTCCTCAACTGGCGCTGCCACGCGCATAGACATTTCCGAGAATTTTCAGAGAATTACCACATGGAACACACATTAAACATACTACAATAACATATAATATAGCAATGTAAATCTGGACCGATGGCATCGCCATTCAATGGATGGCCAGATGATTATCAACAACTATGTAATACTGCAGGTATCAAGGTAGCCTGGTATGCTCCATTCGCAAGTCAGGATTTCGGAGCTACATCATTGCGCATCCTCAACCCTGAGTTTTTTGTCGAACATCGCAATGTTCCAAGAATCCCCCAAATAGATAAAAAAGATTGAGACCAGGAAATTATCCGGGAAACACCATCGAACTAACATCCTTCATATTTCCCAACGTATGGGAATTATTGTCATAGTTGTAGCCGCAAAATATAATCCCAATTTCACCCCAAGTAACATCAAGAAAATCTGAACTTGGCAATCCCAAACTGATGAAATCTCCACAATCTTTGGATGCTCAGATGAAGGCCCAACCCAACCCGGTCACCCGGTCCTCTCCAAAGGAGCTTCGAAAGCTACTGCGGCAGATGATCAGATTCGATGAGCGCCATGAATATCCCAAAGTTCCCAAATCTATTCTCCATTGGCAATTTTGCTGGCTCCATTTTCAGACCCGGGTGTGCTACAGCGGATTCAGAGTTTCCAAACGATTTCCGCCTCAGGACCTCGAGAAATCCACGCGGATTTCCTCGGTGCGTCTGATTTTGTGCCACGAAGGATGCCTCTTTCGTCAAAATCCGCCCATTCAGAGAATGCGTCTTATTTTCAATGGAAAAAATGACAACGTAGAATATGAAAAATATGACGTCTTAAGCTAACATTTAGATATCAATTCAGGATCAATGTCAACCCTGGATTAGTAAACCATGAGGCTGTTTAATTGGAGGGAGTACCAGTTCAGTATCAGATTATGACTATTGGGGAAGTACCACCCTAGTTAAAAACTATGGTTTATTATGAAAACAAGGGCCAAGGTATCATCCAGCCGGAGCAATGAAAGAATCTGAAAGTCGTCAGCACGCCCCAAGAGATCTGGAAACTGGATCGAATGGGGGAAATCTGTCAGGGAACCTGAAATCCAAACCGCAAATCCTGAAGCAAGATCATCCACAATCATATGGCATGCAGTTTCAACACAAAATGGTGTATCAATGCATATTGTATGTGCTTTTTCAGGACGTTGAAACCGGATTTCACAGTGTCCCGTTGAACGCATTTGTCTTCTTCTTTGGACTCAATCCTTCGAAGGTTCTGGTAGATATAACGATTGTTGATAAAAGTTGAAAAACCTTGTCATTTACCCTCTGGTAATGTAACCTGGCTATTGAAAAGGGTCCATTTAGTTTGTCGGTTTACCTACCGTACCATTCACGGTGATTGTCCATGGCTGTCTATGCTACCAGAGGCTACATATGAAGTTGCTTTTCAAACATACAATTGAGGGGGAAGTGGCAGGAGCACTCCCCAGATCATTGAGACAATCCCTGGGAAATCATCCCGCAGATCTTCATTTATTAGTAACCCTGCTGAAGTCCCCGATTCATCCATCTATAGAACTGGCAGAATTGACCCCACAAACACGAAGCACATTCCAAGCATTATCATGTTAATAAACCGTCATTCATCTGATTATATCAAGTGATACATGTGTAATAGCGGTTTAAACTGATATGCAGATACACAATGATAAGTTAAGTGATGCCTAAAACAATAGGTGTAATTATATCTGATAACTATAATCAGGTGATATCAGGTGTTTAGACCCCTATTGTTTGATAATCGGTATTCCTACTTCCATTATGTGAACCACCAAGCAGCATCTTGGTACCCTTTTGACGGCTTGCAGCTTGCTCAAACCTCGGCAATGGAGGTATCTCAATGTGTGAAGCCTAGGTGCCTAGGTGTTCATGGGTAGCTATCCGGAAAACTGGTCTTGACTTGCAAATGGTGTGAAATGAAGAAAAATCTGCCAAAGAGAGCAGTACTAGTACAACTAGTTGTAGATCAATTTGTTTCACCCGACCCTGCAGTGCCAAACACCGTCTGAGATGCTAGTAGTTGGTTTTGGGTCCCAAATATCTTCCGAGAGTAAGTTTGGAGCGCCAGGGCAGAAACGGCCCTTCTTCGTGAAATAAAATGGTACTCTTGTAAAGTATTCGCGAAGTCCAAACTTATGTTTCACAGGACCCATGCAGGTTGACATGTTTTTTTTTGGAAGTCGCTACCTGCCAGATTGATAGATTACTTCACGATGGCCTTGCACACCTGTGACACCCTGCGATGGTATCAAAGGCCATTGTAAGCACGTATTGCGCAACGGGAATCCCCACAGAATGGTGAAACTGTAGCTGTAAAATGTCCAATCCACAAAAGCTTGAAATGGATGCTATGTTGAAGCCTTGGAGGTCCCTTCTTCGAACGACCCAATCAAACCCTGTGCTCTTGAAATTGCTGCTTGACAGTTGAAAGTAGTAAGCAACTAAAATGAACTCCCGACGCACTGAGGAATATCTGTAGCTTCCCAAACAAGAAACGTTGATGGGTGGCACGAGTGTTCATCTTTAACATGGTGCAACATTGATGTGCGTTTCACTCCCTGATGTTGCTTTGAACCTGAAACCAGTGACATCGATTATGCATTGCACATGTTCAAAGGCAATTTCATCCCAGGTGAAACTTGACTGCAGCATAATACAGTCAACGCAAAGGAATCGATACAAGACCCGATACGTCTTGCCTGCGATCATGGGGCCATCGCCGAACAGTCGTGGAAGCTGTATTCCAAGACTACCCGAAAAATATCTACCACCTTTGGGGGTAGTGGATTGTTCTTCCGTTGGAAAGAAAACTACTTGAGTTGCCACCTCAAATCATGGTTTGGACCTAGAAGTCATTTCACAACATTTGCTCACCATGTCATCACATTGAAAGACAAGTGAATTGAACATAGCAATCCACCACAAACAGGAAGGAGCGGTGTGATGTCATACAACTAAAGGCTGCACAGCAGAGATTCCAGCCACTTGCTAACCCATACTGAAATAGAGAGAAACCCCATGCAATCACAAATGTTCATCATTTCAGGTTCTGGTTTCAGCATTGAATTCATAAAAAATAATTAAACCATCGAAAGCCCCAACTTTGCGGGGACAAAATTTTAATCCACACCCTGTAAACCCAACGGCGTTAAACGGCATATCTTTGATCGTTTCACAAGATGCGCTCAAAGGGCACCTTTGGCCCGAAATTGAAGCATGCCGGAATCACTATACCAAACCTGCGAAAACGGGAGGCAAAGCAGGTGACTGGAGATGTTTTCCCACAAACTTCATGTTGTCAGACACTCGCCGACATGTCTAACATTTCTTGCACCAAAACAATTTACAAAGGTGTAAAACTGTATATGGATAGGGTTCTGCATTGGAGAGATCTTGCTGCCAAGGACAACTGATTAATGTTTAAAGATACCCAGCATGTTGTCATAAGCCCAGCAGTCAAAGTTTTGGTGCGTGCAATTCATCAAGTTTCGCATGTCACAGGCAAGTAGGAGCTGCTTGCTAGCCCTAGCCATGTTTATCATTCCCGTGAATGTTTTGATGATCGCTCCAGTTCTTTCTTAACTGTCATTACCAGCAAAAACTGACTGGCACATGAGACACCAAAAGAGCTATTCCCGGTGCCAGGCCTTATATTTCATGCCTTGGGCGGAGCAAATGTGCAAACAACATCTGGGGCTCAAAATGATTCAACCCCAAAAAACGATATGGGCAGAAGAGACATCAAACAAATGCCTACTTTGTGACCATCGGTGACCTTTAGGCCAGGTGACCTTTAGGCCAGGTGACCTTTAGGCCATGTAGTGCTGAAGATAGTCAAGCGGCAAAAAAACATACCTGTTCTGTCCACGCATAATCTGATAATCTGATTTGTTCTCGCCCAATCAATTCTGCAGATTCAATCAAATTCGTGGTTCATCTGTGCTCAATTTTTGGCCGGTGGCTTGTGATGATTTGGCAATGGGTTTAGGCTTCATGGATCTTCATGGGTCATGTGTCCAAAATCGGATGCGTAAACATCCCTGGTACCGACTCACAATATCCCTACTCCTTTCATGTTTTCATTCCCACCAATGCCAGCAGTTTCACCATGTTTCACCCATGGATATTCCCACCTACTATGCCATTGGGCCACTGCATTGAGCCTCACCCGTGCAGCCAAGAGGCTTTTGCCATCAGCAGGTTCACGATTTCTGTGTGTCCCCGCTCTCTCGCATAATCCAAGGGCGTTTTGCCTGGGATCCACAGCTGACATTCGAAGTGACCCTTTCCAATCTCACTTCACTTGATCGCCGTGCGGACTGCCGAATTTGACGTGTGGAAACCATGTGCGGAAAGCGCTGTTTCATTTTTCTCATTTGGCTCACACGGATGTCAAAGACATGGATGAACTCTAAACATCTCTAAACCCTAATTTTTTTCAACAGACACACGCCCCAAAATCACGGCTCTTGAATTTCAAGGGAACTTTGAAGACGGGAACCTGAGATGATAAATCCAGTGAAATCCCATGCTGAAGTTGGAAAAACTTAAAAGATATGTCATAAGTCATTGAGACATGCCACATTCGTTGAACTGCACCTGTTATATCTGTTATATATCTGTTATATCTGTTATATTGATTGTTATTGTGATTGCCGGTGAAAAAAAAAACGGCGTTCAAAAACGGGACATCGGCTGAGGCCCCCAGCCGTTGCGGTCCTCGATGTGCACGGAGGCCTTCGCTGCCAGCAGCTGCTGGGCGCACTCCACGTGGCCGAAGTATGCTGCCTCATGCAGCGGAGTGGAACCTCAGCACCGGCGGAGTGGCACCCGCGGCGCCGTGACCGGCGATCGCTGAGCTCCCGGGCCGAGGCCGTCGCCGCTCAGGACGTCCACGGCGGCGCCCTTCGCCACGAGGAACGCCACGACCGCCCGGTGGCCGCGGCCTGCTGCCTGGTGCAGCGCTGCTCCGCCACCGAAGACTCGGTCGAGGCTGTCGCGGTCGCGGCGCAGGTGGCCCCGGACGGCCGGGAGGTCGCCGTTGGCCGCCGCGTCGGCGATGTGGTCGTCTCGGCGCCCGGAGGAATAAAACCGAAATGACGATGTGTTTTTTTCTTTTTTTTTCCTTTGATCTTTCTGTTTTCTCTAAGTCCAAGTCTGCTATAAGTCTGCTATGGTATTGAACTTCCATTGAATCAGTTAGAAACCTGAACTTATTGAACTTTGAAGTTCCTGATGTTCAATGTTATGGTACTTGAAGTACAACTTCAAATTTATTCTATAGATCTTCTGCCTGAGGTAGCATCAAGTTCTATAGTCAGTATACCGACTGAGCTCCAGACGTTTCGCAGCCGCGGCTTCGTCGGCGGCGACTTGTTCTGGATCTTCCTGCAGGTGTTGTTTTCCGGTCAAGTCGTAAACAAAGCAATGCAAAATCATGAGGCGCCACCAGAACTTAAAGGCAAACAAGACCAGCCAACCAGCCTGGATTGAGGAGCAGTTTGACAAAATCATGTCTCAGGAGAAACAACTGTCAACAACTGTCAACAACTGTCCATTTCAGGCAAGCCACGCGAGGATCGAACATCAGCTTCTGGATGGCTGCTGTGGTATCGGTATTCAGGTCATTGTCATCGGTGTCCCAAACCAGGCTCGTGGTGACATTCACCGCAGAGGTCTTCTTCTCTTGGTTCTTGCTTTCTGAAGCGTGACTGCGCAACGTGTCGGTGAAAATAGCATCCTTTTCTGGATTGCGTTCAGGTCGGGCTGAAATGACTTGAGCAGCTGCCTCTGCTTTTGTTTCTTCCAATGCTTTGGATTCTTCAAACTTCGCAGGTTCGTATTTGAGAAAACCCAGGAATTCAAGCCATCCACCCGAGATGTGTTCGTTGATAACGATGGCCTGGACTTGAGCTCTAGTGATTCCTCGATACAGTCGGGCTCTTGTAGCCGCTGCTTCTGATTGTGTTCCAATGGGTTCATCCAAACCGATGCACATGACAATCAGGTTTTCTAAGCCTTTGCTGTTTTCCATGTGGTCCAAAATGATCATTTCACTCATTTCATTCATTTCACTTTGTCCACCTTTGTCATCAACAGCCAGCCCTGCCTGAAGATCCGGGGGTAAAATAGACAGGGATTTTTCATACGTAACCAGCTCAAAGTATCTCATTGGAAAATGCTCCTTCAGAGCCAAATCGAGGAGTTGCTTGAACTGTTGTAGGAACTCATCATTGGGGACCAAAAGGCCCAGCCTATTGTGCAAGCTCAGGCCTGCATATGAACGGACCACGTGCCATATGCCAGCCACAGTCTTTTGAACATAGACATCGTACGGCACGCGGCGGTCAACGCTGTCAATATTTGCAGGTCGATTGAAAATCAATGTTTTCACTGGTGGTCCGCCAGGGCACACTGATTTCAAGTCTTCTTTCCCCCTGGCGGCTGAGTGAAAAACCGCTGCCCCTGCCACTATCCGTTGGGTACTGCGAATCACTTCTGTCAAGCGGATTGTTGGTATGTCAGGGAATAGTTCTTGAGGGACTGATGAGCACTGGCATTGGCTGGATAACAGCAACTGCCTCTTGCAGCCACTGCTGATACTGTGAAGAAAATCATGATGCACATTGTCGAAGAAGACATCTTGAGCTTCATCAATAATTTGTAGAAGCAATGACTGTTTTGCTGGATCGCTGGCTGGCAGGCAAGGTATCAAATCTATGGACTTATCTTTGATACAGCACTTCATCAAGCATTTGTATGGAGGAATCATGACAAGAACTCTGTTGAGCAAACCTTCAAAGTCAAACTTTTCCCGCGCTGCCCTCCGTCCCAGCCAACGGAGGAAATGCAAAGACAATGATGCAGATGGTGCGACAAAAAGCACCTGTCCTGACGAGTTTTGCTTCAGGGTATCGACCATGAGTTCAACAGCTAGGAACGTTTTCCCTGCTCCAGCAACAGCCGATATTATTATGGGTTGAACGACTGGATGCCTCAAATACCCGAAGGTACCGGACACCGCAGCCAACGGGACATGATCAATTCATGTTTTCACGCACAGTGGCCCTGACCCGGGCCATGTGGTGAAGAACCGCTCTATCATAGGCATCACACCCACGTGTGGGCCAAGCAAGACGATTTTGCAATTCATCTTCAGGGACCTCAGGGCGGCCGGAAGACAACTGTTCGGCGGAGCAATGCCAGGAGAGATGTTCCCAGACAGGTGGGATTTGCTCACCGCAAAAGGGACATTGTTCCCTCACTTTTCTTTAATTTCCTTGTATTTCTCAGCTTGATGCCGCGTCAGCTTTGATATGCTCAAGAGCTGCTGCTCGTAGCTTTCGCAAAAGTGTGTCTTGTTAACGCAAAGCTGCAATCTCCCGTGTTGCCTTGCAAGCAGTTCCTGGTTCAGGCTAATCTCGAAATTGTGATTCAGAATTGCGTTGCGGAGCTCTTGCATTGCTTCAACGGTTTCCACCTGAATTTCAGATTGCAAGCAATCTGTGCCATTGGGAAGAATGGAGTCTTCATGGCGGACAATCTTCACGTCATCTGGGAGGATCTGTTTCACGATTTCCAAAAACTGGTCTTTGCCAACTGAATCAAGGAGTTTTTGGATATCATCTCGATGGCGCACCCTTTCTGTGGTAAAAACTTTTCCATGGGATTGAACTCTGCACTGGAGAACCTGCTCCTTTTTGTTTGGATCTTCTGGAGACGGCTTAGATCTTGATCCCAGGGTCGGCCGAGCCAGTAGCTCTCCTCTGCACCACTGCTTGCCATCAAATGCATTGACGACTTTGCCCTTTGCAAACTCGTTCTTCAAAAAATTGACCACATCAACACCTTCATAATGCCAATCCTGTCCACATTTCTCTTGCATCATGTCCAGATAGGCCACCTCGCACTTCTGGGAACCACCGCAGCCAATGCCGTCCCAAAGGTCTGGTACTGTGGCGAGGTCTTTCCATGCAACTTTGCCCTGGCCCACTTGGCCAGGGAAAAAGACCACCTTCAGAGTTTGTTCCTGTCTGACTGCTTCCTCAACTTTTTCCTTCCAGACCTGAAACCACTTACAGCCCCAGGCGGCAGTCCTGCCATTCTTCTCCCATGCCTGCTCAGCCTCCTCCATAGCTGTTTCTTTCTCCTCCTGACTGGCATCTTCCCGAACAACCACAGTGTTTGTCGACGCAGCCTTCTTCCTCGCCTTTTCTTCTTGATCTGGTGTGAATCCTCTTGGCAGAATCTTGAAATAGCCAAACTCTTTTGCAGTTCGTTCCCCATAAATGGTTTTGCAATAGCAAATTTCCGGTCTAAGAGGATCAGGTTCATGTTTGCCAAGACCATCTTCCGGTGTGCACAGGAAGACACACGCTATGCTTTCAGAATGCACTGCCTCCTCATGGATGAGAGCATCCCAGGCCGAGGCAAATTTGCCCGGAAAAGAGACGAAACAATGCTTTGCACCATCTTTAATATCACCACGGAAGGTCTTGTCTTCGGTCTCCTCAATCACCGCTGGCCTCTCCTTCAGAGTGAAAATTAGGGAATAAGTCGTAGAACGCTTGACCTGGCAAACAACGAGAGATGTGAGAACAATTTGTGATCGCCTGGATTTAGCCTAGAAAGGCATAGAGTTCACACAGGGGCTATTTTTGGAACGGGCGCCAAGTCCAGTTTTTGTTGATATCCTTGGGATTGCCTCCCAATCATAGTTGCGCAACCCAATGGCATTGTGTTTCCTACATTTAAGGGGATTGTTTGTTCTTTTGTAGTGCAAGGACCCGCCACAAAAAACGAATCAACACCGCATTGAAATCAGGTTGTTGAATGGCGGTTCGAACCATGCAGGGTTTATCGAGGAAGTTCAGAAGTCAAATTTCCGACAACATGGTCAGACGAAAAGCAGAGGTGGGAAGAGTCAGAGAAGAGAAGAGAAGAGAAGAGAGAAAAGAAGAGAGAAGAGAAGAGAGAAGAGAGGAGAGAAGAGAATAGAGAAGAGAAGATAGGAGAGAAGAGAAGAGAAGAGA